CGAGTGAGCAATTTGACTCAGGTTAGTGAGTGAGCAATTTGGGATAAATTTAACTTCAATTGACTTTTGAATCCATCGATTTGTAATTCACGACATTGATTCAATGCATGTTAGTTGTTAGCCCACATAAAGGTTTAATAGCTTCTTACATTGGATATAATTTTAATCAAACTATTAGAGCAACCAATTTTGAAGCGTCTAATAATTAAATCGTCGAAAAAGTGTCAAGGACTAAATTGAAATATCATTTAAAATTCAATATCATTTGTGAAATTATGTTGCTTATTTGGCAATCTACTTAGCACTTATTAATCTAGTCCAAATTTAAAATTTTGACATTAAAAACAACTTGGATAAGTTAACAGTGACTAATTGTGAAATGTTTAATAACTCTAAAGGGCTTGCTTCAAATTTCAATTAGATCTCAATCATTTTTGAAATTAACTCTAATATGTCATATGATGTCAGAAGACAAATATACATGAAGCCCTTGTTTGATAAAGTTTTTTGAAATTAGAAGTCAATGATTTCATTAAATGTGTGACTTAAATGCAGACAAAAGTTGTAAGTTTAACGAAATATGTATGATTAAAAATGAAGTTTAACTAAACTAAAATCTGAAGAAAAAACTCTCGAACAAGAGTGAAGTATTATAATGATGGTAACTAAGTGAGTTTTAAATTGGTGTCAAAATATTCTACTTACCCATATGGTCATTAATGTTGACAATGGTAATTAAATTGCGCCATTGCCACTCATACATACATCACTTTTAGAGTAAATTGTAATTGAGACATTTAGGGGTTGTTCTCGTATTTGAGTTTCAAATTCATTTTCGATTTTGTGTTTTGAGTGTTCATTTTGAGATTGTTGAAAACATGTTCTTTTTTGTCATTTTAGAAAATCATTTCTCAAAACAGGAAATTGAAGAATGCGTTTACTTGTAAATTTTGAGAATAATTTTTTATAACATTTTCTTCAAAAAACCACCACAACTCCACCACAAGCCGCCACAACTAGAATCATCATTGTTCACCACCACAACCAATCATCGCCACAACCAGTCACCAAGACAACCAATCACCACCACAAAATCGATCGTCGGTACCACCACCATCAACACCACTGCTAAAATCATAACCATCAACGAAAACCAAAATTGCCACCACCATCAACCAAAACCAAAGAACCCCCAATAGTGAGAGAGAGAAGAAACCAAATCGCCACCACCATCAACACCCATCAACCAAAACCAAAGAACCCCCAACATTGAGAGAGAGAAGACACCAAATCACCACTACCATCAACACCCATCACCCATCATCGTGCTGCGAATGTCAGGCTCAACGACCACAGCGTCGCGAGCGACGAATAGGTTGTGATGCTGCTGTGGTTTGGAGAGGAGGTCGCGACTTTGCTGTGGTTTGGAGCAGCGTCGCCTCCCCACGCCGATGCCACCACCATCAACCACTCCTTCGTCGTTGGCGTCAAGAAGGGAGAAGGAGGAGACGGCCTAAAGGAGAGAATGAAGTTGAAAGTTTCACGGCCATCCACTTTTTTTTTTCTTTCTCTTGTTTTGCGTGTTTTTATTATTTTCAATAGAAAACACTCAAAATGACCTTTTGGTCATTTTGTGTTTTCTTCACAAATTTTTTTTGTTTTTTTTTAATTTTCAAAAACGCGTTTTCGAAAAACGAGAAAGAGAATGCATATTCACCGTTTTGAAAAATCGAAAACAGAAAACGTCAAAGAGAACAACCCCTTAACTTTTATATAGTGGCGAATTCATCTGGAACCTCCATATTTTAAGACTATGGTCCTCAAGCTTCTATTAACTAAGCTGACCATAAATCAACTAGACAAATATTAAAATAGTAGGTGATTTGAGCAAATCTAACTTCAAAAGGGCGAACCAATCCATAGTTAATTTTAAATAAAAATAAAAATCTTTGTGTTTCTCTAGATATCCACCCTAACCCATCCTCTGAACTCATCCAAACCTATAAAACCCAACCCAGTGCAACAACAATTATATAAAGAAAATAGATGATAGATAACATGGTAGGGAGAGCAATTGTTTAAATTTATGGGTTTATCTACACATCATGTGTCAATGATTTCAAACTTCGCTGAGATTTGGATGTTAGGAAAATATTTGCACTTTTATGTGAAGTTTAGGGACTTTCATTGCAATTGTTCTTACTTTTTACTATTCGAATAACCAGTGGAGGACATAAACATTTTGAGTTAGGAAGCACGATCAAACTTTCGAAGAACTTTTGAAAAGTTAAAAGTTTCGATATCTTATTATAATTGTTCTCTACGTGTTCTCATACTTTAATAACATCCCATAATCACAACATTTTCAATATTGTCAAATACATCATTCTCAATATGTACAATCAAACTATCATTCAACCA